AAAAATGTATTTGTAAAAACAATTTATGACCTTGTAAAAAAGATTTGAATTTGTAAAAAAAAAAAAAAATCACAAGTTACAAAACTTTTTTTAACGATGTTCTGTTGACAAATACGAATCCAAAAACTGTATGAATTTTGTCCTGGATTTTACTCCTCTCATCTGATTGGTCAATGTCATGTCAATCACAAATTAAGGATCCAGTCAGAGAACAGATGGGTTTGTCTGTGGACACCTCATTGAGCGGACTGATCGTCCGCCATATTGAATGTGGCAGATTGCGTGTCAACTAACAAGAAAACAGACTGAACTTCATAAAACATCGTTCTACAAAGTGTTTGAAGTTAATCCATGTTCCCTTTCAGTCAGTACACTCGGTACAACACAGTAGTATGGGGAATGCAATCTTTTTTTTTTTTTACACAAAAATTCTTTTTACATGTACATTTTTTTTCTACAAGGTCACAAATCATTTTTACACCTGCAAAATATGTACAACTGGAATTTGAGCCTTTAGAATGCTCTATAAAATAAATAATCCTAGACAATATACCAGATTGTTAAGAGAACAAACCGCAAGTCATAATCTATTTGTTGGCAAACCATTTCATTATTTTATTTTAAATGTAAGTGATGATGAAAATATATTTTCTGCTCATACCAAATGACAAACATGTTCAGTGGGCCCTTCATTTTCCCCGTGGCAGCTGAAATAATGTCCAGCCTTCTGTAACAGCATAAAGCAAATAAAACAAAACAACAGTGCAATTATTGGTTACAAAATCTTAATGACTTCTTTCACTTACAAAAATGTTCATTTTTCTGAATTTACTTGAGCAAGAACTGTAAAGAATAAAAAAACAACTTCTACAAAAACTTCCTGCAATTATACATAAAAGAAAAACACTGAACACATGATCTAAGGTGCTTGTTGTCCTGACATAAGTTCAACCATTGAACTCTACATCGTTAAAGGTGCAGTCAGAGCATTAGGGAGTTCATGTGTGTTCACAGCAGGACTGCACAACAAAGACGTGTCCTGCAGGAGGGACACCAACTCAACAGGATCAGGACGGTCTGGTTCTTCTCGTGACAACCCTGACTGTGAGTCAGGCTTCCGGTTCTTCTTGTAGACCATTCTCTTCATCTCACAGTACCCACTTAATCTAGATGTAAGCGATCTTTTAAGGCCAGGCCTCCTCATCTTCCTCCTCTCTGGGTCGTGGATGACACTGTGCCTCTGAAGACTGCGTTTCATGGCAAATGTCTTTCCACAGCCACTGTGGGTGCAGACAAACTGACGCACGTCCTCGTGGAAGGAGCTGATGTGGCTCTGTAGGTTAAAGAGGGTGGTGTATGACCTGTCGCAGCCATCTCTGGGACACTTGAATACCACTCTCATCTCAGAGTGGACGTACTGGTGCTGCTGCAGAAACCAGGAGTCCCTGAACTCCTTGTTGCACTCGGCACACCTGGCAACACACCAGTGGTGGTTCTTCCTGTGCTTCAGTAATTCTGTCCAGTTCTTCCCTGTGAACGTGCAGTCCTCCTCCTGGCAGGGGTATCCCCTGTGCACCTTCTCGTGCCTCTTCAGTTTACTGGGGAAGGCAAATCGCATCTGGCAGCCTTCAAAGGTGCACTGGTAGGGAGGCAGCTGGTCGTGCTGCTCACACACGTGAGACTTCAGCTGTTTGTGTTTCCTGAACTCCAGGCCGCAGCCGTCATATTTGCAGACATACTTCTTGTGATCCTGGCTGTGAATGCGGCTGATGTGTCGGTTCCTGTTGGCGTTGGTGGTGAAGGCCTCCGAGCAGCCATCTACCGTGCAGAGAAACGGCTTCGCCCCGGTGTGACTGAGTTCATGCCGCGCCAGGTGATTCGCGTTGCAGAAGGACTTACCGCAGCCCTCGCGCTCACAGGAGAAAGGCTTCACTCCGGTGTGTTTACACAGGTGTGCGTCCAGCTTCCACTGTTTGTTATAAGCGGCCGAGCAGTCGGGAAACGAGCAGATGTACCGTTTGTGCGGCTCTTTTGTGGCTTCCATTTTCGCTGTGTATTTGGAGCTAACGTGTCTTCGCTTCGAACACGTTTTCAGCGGTCAAAAACCGGCATTTCCGCACTCCCGCTTCCAAGTGTCGTCACTTCCGAAGAAACCTGGAAATGACGTCATTTGGTGACGACGCGAACGTTTGTTTATCTTTAGCAGTGAAGCTAAACACGAATGGTAAACGATTCCGCATGTTTACTAATCAAGTAATAGTTCATAGTGTGAATTCGGTATTCAACTAAATTTCTTTCTTTAGTGTATTTTTTTCTATAAATCGTCTTCATATTCGCGCACGAGGACACGCACGTTGTTAAGCCGTGACTAAGGTATAGCTAGCTAGCTGTTGCTAAACTAGGCTTTTTATGTTTAGACAAAATCAGATTCATAATAATTCGTACTCTAGAACTAATTTTAAATCTAAAAACTAAACCCATCCCTGAATGTTGTAAGGCGGGATAATAATTATATGTACTTTGGTTTTCGATAATTGTTTCAACATTTCTATTTCATGCTCATAAAAGCCCAGCGCTCGCAGCTTTGGCCTTTAATTTAATTCAGCTGTTGCTATTGTGATAATAACAAATTTCTTTTTTTTTTGTCTTCTGTTTGTAAAGGTGTAGCTCCATTACAAACTGAGCTTCTGTCGTCACCATGGTAAGCTGTGATCACGTCTTTTACTGACATTTACATTTTTTTTTTACTGACAGATCCGATTTCTTTTAATATTTTCCTTTAAAAAAATAAATAAATAAATATTTATGATGGTAGTAAATTAACAGATTCACCTCCAGGGAAAAGGGTACACTCCTTTGCATCAGATTAGTTTGAAAAGAAGATGGATCCCGGACATGCTATTCATCCTACCTTTCTTTAACGGAGATTAAAATTCATATTTTAAACCTGACTTGGCATGATGCTGTGATAATTAAATGTTAATTAAATTTGTTCTGCTGTGTGAGTTTGAATATAGATTATCCTCAATAGACTTTTTTGTGTGCGTTTCTTGAAAGGGTGAAAGAAAAGGAACAAACAAATACTACCCTCCTGATTTTGACCCAGCCAAGGTGAATACAAAGAAAAATACAATTTCTAAGCCTTTTTTTTTTTTTTTTTACAGTTTTTGTGTGTAACTGCAAACTAATATGTTTACCATTCTTTGTCTTTAGCATGGATCGCTCAATGGCTACCATAAAACTCACGCCCTGCGGGAGAGGGCCAGGAAACTGTCCCAGGGCATCCTCATCATCAGGTTTGTACATTCTCTTTGAGAAGAAAAGACAAAGTGAAGGTGGTTGGAAAATGAAGATGGTATTCTTGTTTCTTAATTCTTGCATGTATTTTGAGTCTTTTCACATCCTTTCAGCTTATGTATCACTTTCTAAACATATATGTTTTGACACATGATGCATAAAAAATAAATTAATGCTTATTTACAGATTTTTTTTAAAATTAGAATTGATGTTTTTTCATTGATATTCAACCTAAGTGTATGTATTAACTGGTTCTTTGTCCATTAAGGTTTGAAATGCCCTACAACATTTGGTGTGATGGCTGCAAAAATCACATTGGCATGGGTAAGTTAAGGAAAAAATATATTTATTTCATCAGATAATGTTTTTTCATTTGCATAACCCTAATGATCTGTTGCTTCAGGTGTTCGTTACAATGCAGAGAAGAAGAAAGTGGGGAATTACTACACCACACCAATCTACAGGTAAACAAACAGCAACCACAAATAATGTTAAAATAATCACATTTTTCTGTTATTTTATCAAGAAATCATTTGGAAACACTACAATATAGTTTTAACATTATAGTTTATTTATAAAACACTCAAAAAATGTGACGTTTTCAAATGTTTTTGTCCTTTTTAACTAGGTTTAGGATGAAATGCCACCTGTGTGTCAACTACATTGAGATGCAGACGGATCCAGCAACTTGTGATTATGTTATAGTAAGTGGAGCTCGTAGGAAGGAGGAACGCTGGGACATGGCTGAGAATGAGCAGATCTTAACTACAGGTAAAAGTTTGATCTTTTCTAACCAACATTTAGAAATTGGGAGAGACTAGGAAGATTTTTATTGGTAGAAAAATAAAATAAAAATACATTTTTATTGATTCTTGAGTGAGAAGCTTTGCGAAACATTTTGCAGAACCTGGATGAGGTTAAAACGGTGCTACCTAAGTGTGGACCGTTTAGGTTTCAAATCAATTTAACCTTGTCGCATCTCGAAATAGAACGAATGGAGAAGGAGAAGCTGGAGACGGATGCCATGTACAAACTGGACCATGGTGGGAAAGACAAAGAGAAGCTTGCAAAAGCTCTTCCATCTCTTTCTGAGATTCAGGACTACCAGGCAGGTTGGAAGGATGACTTTCAGCTCAACAGCTCCCTCCGCAGGAAGTTCAGAGTAAGAAATGTACCTCTTGTCAGAGTTTCTTTGTCATTCGCATCACATGTGGTACATGTAGTGGAACAAAACTGTGTACACAGGGTTCCAGTTACATCAAACAATAGCAAAAATATAAAGTGTAAAAAGAAACGGTAAATAAGGATCTAAGATATACATTAAGATATATGCTAAACGAACGCCCAACGGTACTCTAAAAGATCTAAGGTATATGCCAGTCACTAATAGTGCAAAACAATACAACGAACAACAGCAGCACGATCCTCATAGGTTCTGTTCGGCTATAATTTACACGCTTCATGCGAGTACTAACATAAATTAAATTAACATAAACTAGGATTTATTCAAAGAATGCAACAAAAATACAGAAACAAAATGCCAAAAGTGAAAAGGAAATAAATCTAGAGCAGCATGGTCCTACTGGCAGAGTGGTTCTGATGACAATGGTTCTTGTCTTGTTAACTGCATAAATTCTCAATAGACTCAGTTTGGTGACAAACATTATTTTGGGAAATACTTAGTTTATGCTCATATGTATTTTTTTTTAAAACATTTTGACACAATTAAAATAGCAACAACTGTAAAATTGTTACCATATCGTCCATGTAAGCTGTGCTCCAAAACTTTGTGTAGAGTAGAGGTCTGGTGCTCTGTTTTTTATGTTAACTTATTTAACTGTCTCTATTTCTCTTCATGGTGTCAACAATAGTAACAATATTTTCTGGGATATTGGTCTTAAATTGGACATTCCATTAATAAGACAACCCTAACACCAAAATGTTGCCACAAACAAACGAGTCATCATAACATAAAACTACTTTTACCATCAAAAGTGTCCTCCTGGGTGTACTTTTAAAGCATCTGTTTTCTTTAAATTTATTTTTAGATTAAATTCAAACTGACTACTCTGCTTTTGCGTATGTTGCAGACCGAAAAGAAAATTCTGGTTGAGCAGGAGGAGCAAGACAATGCTGTAAAGATGAGGACAAACTTATCTATACCACTGCTGCCGGAGAAAGAAGAGGACAAAAAACTGGCAGCACTACTAATCTACCAAACACCTGACTGTAAGCACTGTACTGTTCTTACACGTAGATATTTATGATGACAATACATAACACATTATTATTATTAATATTTTAGATAATAAGTATGGAGTATCTCAAGTTACATTATAGCTTTCTCAGTAGCAGTTTTGTGTATAAACCGAGCAAGGCTTAGATTTTAATGATGGTACTAAAACTGCCTTCCTTTTATGTTTTTAATGTAATTAATTTATTTATTGTTTTTTCCTTCAGCATACGAGGACAAACAGCACAGCAAGCGGAAAGAAATCGCCTCTCGCTCTTGGTTTAATTTCACCTCGTCACCAGCAGGGGGTGCTGCAGGCAGTCTGCTCCATAAACTGAGCCTGCAGGGGAAAGAAGCTGCTGTGGCCAAAGCCCTGGGCTCCTCTCACAGCCCCCTAATCCGCAGACGCACTGGTGAATCTGGAAGTAAAAATGAACCCTGCGCCACCGTCACCCGTAGAAACTCTCAGTCAGAAGGTGATGAAGAAAGGCTGAAAGTGACGCAGAAAGAAGAAGCTCCATGTACACGATCCGCGCATGAAGGTGAGGAAGAGGAGCAAAATGGCAGTGGTTTGAATAACTCCAAAACAACAGAGGAAGTTCAGAAACTGACAAACGCAGCGAACTGTGTGAAGGAGAGCGAGAAGGGAACAAGTTCAGGAGGAGTCACGTCTTTGGTGGCCGATTACAGCGACTCAGATTCAGACTCAACACAATGACACTAAATAAAAAAGTTAAATGGGACAGAAAACGACACATAATCTTGTGTTTTCCTAACATGTTTAAAAGTAACAGTATTGATTACACCTTCTCATTAATTAAAAGTTTGAGCTGCACATTACATTTTTCTTTGTGTTCAGCATGCATTTTGAATGTTTTGGTAGTGTTGCATCTGTCACAGCTTAAAATATTTAATTTAGATTTTAGATTAAGATCTAAATTAACTCGTGATCTGATAATACAGGCTGACACATCAAAATGTGAGTAAATTTCTGAGCCAAGTACTGAACCGTTGTTATTTTTTTATATTAATATTTATAACTATCCACAGTAGAAAGCTCAAACAACAAAGACCTTTTCACCGTTTAGTTTATACAATAATTTTTTCTTGTTATATTCACATAGATCTGGTTTTAAAACAATTCAACTGCAGATTAAATAAATGCTGAATGGTGTTCAGTCTTTATGTACTAATAAGAATGAATGAAGGTATTCGCTGCCCAGGTAAATGATTGATATTAAAATTAAAGCCAAAGTTTCACACTTCATACCAAACAAGTTACAATCACATGTAATGCTTTAGGCATAAAGATTAATATACAGCTGGACTATTGTGTAAGTATAATTTTATCTCACTTAAAACCTATAAAATTAAAGTTAAAACTACTGAAACAATACAAGTCTCAAGTATTGGCCTCTATTTTCTTTTAAGAATAGTTACTGTGTGTGATGTTAATCTTTCTGCGCTGTACTTTTTGCAGTACTTTTTCACAATGTTCTGCGTACAGTTTGAGTTCAAAGTCTGTATGGGTTGTTTTGTCGTTTGTCCTCCATCGATCGGATTCTGCACCCCCTCCCCTTCCCGATGACAAGTGTTTGATCAAGCAGAATTCTGTGGGTTTTATAGTTGACCAGCTTCATTTAGGATCACAGCCCACCAAAACACCAAAATGGTTCGGTGGAGAGTGCACATCTTTTTATTTCTCATGCTTTTCTGCAACACAAATGGACAATCTGATGGTCACAGGAGAAAGTAAGCTGCTTTATTTCTCTTATTTCTGCTGACTACATGTTTTTGTCTTTGGTAACTAATTATGCTATGTTGTTTACAGACACTGGCGTGAAAAGTATGTATTGGTGTGCAAAATTCAAAACATGAACAGCTGCAACCCTTTGCCTCTGACAGCTTCAGGTAATGTTTCTGAATGTTATCCCCAGATTTGTTTCATTTGGACAATATGTGGACCGCCATAGGTAAGTAACCAAGTCAGCTGCAACAATCATTTCACTGGGTTTTAAGCAATAATAACTTCTGCCTTGTTTTTATTAATTTATTTTTTGCAGCCCTCAAAAACCAAAGGAATCGCTTAGTTCTTCACCGAGGTACTGATAAAATTATTGTCCTACAACCAATGACAAAACTATAGATCAGACGTGGGCAACTTAAGGCCCGAGGGCCAAAAGTGGCCCTTAGACAATCTCTGTCAGGCCCCCAATATCTTTAAGTTTAATAAAAGATTATTTAAAACAAACAAAAAAAACAAAACAGCAATTTATCAACAAGACTTAAGGAAATTGAAATTCAACATCTTATGCAAAACTTTACATGTTTTAAGTTGTGTTTCCAGAACTAGACTGAACCACAAAAGACTTAGAAACATAAGCTTGTTTTGCATATTTCTGCTAATATGTATAACATGTTAAGCCAGCGTGTAATATAATGTCACGAGCCATTTTACAGAATATGTTTTGTGATCCTAAAGGATATTAGAAATACTTGTTTTATAAATCATTCTAACCATAAGAAAAAGCCTGACAAAGGTCTTCTCGATTATCTGCCATAAAGTCGATGTATTTTCCAATTCTCTGCGGCCCTTTGATTGCTTTAAACGTCTTGATGTGGCCTTTTGGGAAAAAAATGTTGCCCACCTCTGCTTTAGATGTTACTACTGGTAATTTTCCAGGCAGTACTAAAAATGTGTTAAAATATGTATATATATTTAGTTAGATTTTTCACATGTATACACATCTTGCAGCAACTTTTTTTTATCCTATATACATATATATATATATATACACACAAACCGGATTCCAAAAAAGTTGGGACACTAAACAAATTGTGAATGAAAACAATGCAATGATGTGGAGGTGCCAACATCTAATTATTCAGAATAGAACACAAATCACAGATCAAAAGTTTAAACTGAGAGAATGTATCATTTTAAGGTAAAAATCTGTTGTTTCCAAATTTCATGGCGTCCACAAATCCCAAAAAAGTTGGGACAAGTCCATTTTTACCACTGTGTGGCATCCCCCCTTCTTCTTACAACACTCAACAGACGTCTGGAGACAGAGGAGACCAGTTTCTCAAGTTTAGAAATAGGAATGCTCTCCCATTCATGTCTAATACAGACCTCTTAACTGTTCAATCGTCTTGGGCCTTCTTTGTCGCACCTTCCTCTTTATGATGCGCCAAATGTTCTCTATAGGTGAAAGATCTGGACTGCAGGCTGGCCATTTCAGTACCTGGATCCTTCTCCTACGTAGCCATGATGTTGTGATTGCTGCAGAATGTGGTCTGGCATTATCGTGTTGAAAAATGCAGGGTCTTCCCTGAAAGAGATGACGTCTAGATGGGAGCATATGTTGTTCTAGAACCTGAACATAGTTCTCTGCATTAATGGTGCCTTTCCAGACATGCAAGCTGCCCATGCCACAAGCGCTCATGC